TTTTTTTTTTTTCCCCCCAAAGCCCCAGTAGATAGTTGTATGTCATAGTTGCACATCCTTCTAGTTGCTGTATGTGGGACGTGGCATCAGCATGCCCAGAGAAGCAGTGCGTCAGTGCGCGCCCGGGATCAGAACCCGGGCTGCCAGTAGCAGAGCGCGCGCACTTAACCGCCAAGCCACGGGGCCAGCCCTCAGCAATATTTATTGATTAATCCACAGATATTTATTTTTGGAAGTCATCAGTGTAGCACTGGGAGCAGATGGGGTCACCTAGGAGTATATTATAGAGTGAGAAAAGAAGGCCTAGGCCTGAATCTTGAAAGAATCCCAAAATATCACCTTAAATATGAGGAGGATGAGCCAATAAAGGAAAATGGGAAGGAGCACCCTGAGAGATAGGAGCCAGGGGCCTGGGGACTTGAGAAGGGAGTATCTCAAGAGAAAGGGAGAGGCTGGTTGAGTTGAAGTACCTGAGAGGCTCAGTGAGATGAGGACTGGGAGTTGTTCACCAGATCCAGCCATGTGGACCTCATGGGGGACCTTGGTGATTGCAGCTTGCTGGGGTGGTGAGGTAAAGGCTAGATTCGAGTGCGTTCAGAAGGGAGTAATAGGTGGGAGACAGCCAATAGTGACAACTGTTTCAAGAAGTTTATCTGTGAAGGGCAGGAGAACAAAGAAGCCTGTACAGGAAGGTTTTTAAAGGTGGGAGAACGTTTTGAATGCTGTAATACTAATAGGAAGAATCTAGTGAAGAGGGAGAGGTGGAGGCAACAACTGAAGAAAGAGATGATCCGTAGTGAAAGTTTCCTAAGAATGTGGCACAAAATCTCAATCTGCCTGAAGTAGGAGAGACCCCTTACATGTTGCAGCAGGAGGAAGAGGTGAGGATGGAGATAGAACTGTCTTTGTTCACCTCCTCTTGTCTTTAAAGTAGCACTAGGTTAGGAACTGCTGACAGAGGTAGGATGGTGGGTGCCTGTTAGATCCAGCAGAGGTCAATGGTCATGTTAGTGGGGAGCTGGCTCAGGTAAAGGTGGGGTGACCATATTGCAGATCATAGGATCATCCCCATCTGGACCCAAATTAGGACCTTTGGCTTAGCTGCTGTATCTGGGGCCAAGGGTCAAGCTTTTCACAGCCTGTTGCTTTTCCTCCCCATCCTACCTCCCACTTGGGCTTTCTTTGTGGCCCACACTAAACCCAGCTCCTGCCATGGCTTCATCCGTGTTGCCGCAGTGGTGCAGAGGGCCCCCCCACCCACTGACCCTGGTACCCCATCTTCTCAGGCCCCAGTTCGTTTTGATCCCTGTTGAAACTCTCCTACAAGCAATCTTTGAGCCTGTGGCTTGAAGAGCGAGGAGAGACTGTCAAGGGACTGGTTTGCTGTTGACTTCTCAGGGGCATCCAGCCTCCTGTAATCCAAATGGGGAAGATCTTTTCAATTGAGCCTTTATGTTGGAAACTCTTGTTGCAGTTCAGAGGCAGGGAAGATAATCCTATGCTGGCTTTCTGGTGCTCCACTTTCTCTCTCTTCCTCTACTCTGGGCCTGAGCATCTTCTCTTCTGCAGGGAGACACAAACTTGCCTGATTCCAGAGTCTCCTGGATAGGGGATGTGCGGGGCCATTCTGCAGTGAGGAACAGTCACCTGAATCTGGCCGGGTCCACCTGGAAGAGCTTAGCCTACAGTGAGTGGTGAGGGGTGGGGGCATAGCCACCTGCCTGGTCTGGGGGCTATGTGGGTAGGGGTCTGCTAGATCCTAGGGAGTCACTGGCCTGGCGTTATGAGCTCCAAATCACTGTCCCTCAGGAGGCTTTTGTTGTCCTGAGGCCTTGACATTCATGCTGTCTTCATTGTAGGCCGCAGAGCCTCCCTGGGCAGTTGCTGCTGTTCTCCATCCAGCCTGTCCAGCCTGGGGACCTGCTTCTCCTCCTCCTACCAGGACCTGGCCAAGCACATTGTGGACATCTCTATGGCTGATGTGAGGAACTGCTCCACTTGTCTCCACGGTTCCTTTAACAGACCTCTGCTGGGCGGGGAGGAAGAGCAGGGAAAGAGCAGGGCAGATGAGGGCAGTCAGGCTGATGTGGGCTTCTTCAGTGGCCCTCCATCTGTACAAAGGGGGAATTCAGTAAATGCTGGCCCAAGTGACTAACCCAGAGGTCTGGTTTGGACCATGCCCCTAATTTGGGTGTGGTCACTGTGTCCCCAGGTAATGGCTGCTTGCTCAGATAATCTGCACAACCTCTTTAGTCACCAGGCAGCAGCCGGCTGGAAGTAAGTTCCTTTGTACAGTGTCTTGTCCTAACCCTGTTGTCCTACTTGCTTTCTCTCTCCTTTCCCTTCTTCACCCTGGCTTCCTTGAGTCCCTTGCCCTGAGCCCCTCCTCTGTGACCCTGGAACCCAGTTTCACCTCCTCCTCCTCCCCGTCCTGGTGTCCCCCAGCTATCAGGGTGAGGAGCAGGAGGTGCAGCTCTACTACAAGGTGTTTTCCTCTACTCGGCATGGCTTCCTGGGGGCAGGTGTGGTGGCCCAGCCGGTGTCTCATGTGTGGGCCGCTGTGAGTGACCCCACCTTGTGGCCACTGTACCACAAGCCCATCCAGACAGCACGGCTGCATCAGCGGGTGACCAACAGCATCAACCTGGGTGAGCCCAGGGAAGGCTTCCATGGGCTCTGGCCAGGGGACAGAGGTGGTGGTAGGGTTGGAGGCAGCCCTCTTGGGAGGCTGGGCCTCAGGCTAGGTCCAGCTGGGTGTCAGATTGCAGAATGATGGGGTGTGGGGGGGTTCCTGAGCCGAGAAGGATTTAGGACCAGGTCTGTCCATGTGCCTTTTGACTCTTCCCATCCCTGACTTTCCAGTGTACTTAGTGTGCAATAACACCCTGTGTGCACTGAAGCAGCCGCGGGATTTCTGTTGTGTCTGCGTGGAAGCCAAAGAGGTGCCTGCCTTGCTGGTGGTAAAGATATTGTGGGAAGAACTTGGGCTGGAGTGTTGTGAGAAGCAATCTTTCTGGGCATCAGGTCCTGTGGGGGAAGGAGGTCAAGTTGGGTGGGGGTGGAGGTGCCTTGAAGGCTGGCCCAGTGTTGTCTTCCATGATACTGACTGCCCTGGAGCCTGTCCCTGTTTGATCCACATCATGTAGGCAGGACTCACATTGTTCTTTGTCCCCAGGGGCATCTGTCTATCATGGCAGCTCAGTCTGTGTATGACACATCCATGCCAAGACCCAGCAGAGATATGGTCCGAGGGGAGATCCTGCCCAGTGCCTGGATCCTGCAGCCTCTCACCGTGGAAGGGAAGGAGATCACCAGAGTCATCTACTTGGTCCAGGTGACCCACCCAGTGCAGCTGGCCTCACTGCATGCCTTGATTTGACTCCACAGCCCCATGGGAGTTTTCTGTTTAGCTACTCATCATCCTTCAGTGCCCAGGCCCTGTGGCCTGAGAGCTGGAGACTGAAGGGCTTCTTGGGTCACAGTAAAGGGAGTCAGTGGGGAATCAGAGAGGAAAGATTGAGACAGAGTTGATGAACCTTCTCTGAAGCTGCTATTACCAGAGGGCCCTGCAGCCTACATCCTCTGGCTGTTCCCAGGGTCCTCAGGAGATAGATGAGTTATTGCGAGGCAAAAGCAGCAGCCTCAGCAGAGCAGAGATATCATGACCCATTCTATTCAGCTCTCTACTCCCAGTTCCCTGACTTGACCTTTGTTATTGGGAGATGAAGCCGATGCCTGGATCTGAAAAGCAGAGCCCCGGGGGCCTGTAAGCTCCAGGACCATAGACAGTCTGAGGACCTTCTCCCATCACAGCCTGGCGTGGCTACTTGGGGCTTAAGTGTGCCCTGGCACGCTCTCTCAGGTCTGTTTGCACCTTTAACTCTTCCCTCTTTGCTTTATTTCAGGTAGAATTTGGTGCTCCAGGCTTCCCTGCTCCACTCCTAAGCTCCTTCATCAAACAGCAGCCACTGGTTATAGCCAGACTGGCGTCCTTCCTTGGTAGTTAGCATCTCACCGTCAAGATGGTGCTGCTGAGATGCAGGCCCAGGATAATCCAAAGATGCTGGGGCAGCTCTTGTTACTCTCTGTACCATGATGCAAGAAGAGCCAAGGCTACCTGCTGTGGCCAACTGGACAGACAGCACTCAGCCCCGAGTTGCCAGTAAAGCCCACTCAGTACTTGGTCACGGCTGGCACCTCTACAGAGTGAGGGGGCCTGAGCTCCTGGTCCTGGCTGTGAATGAAGCTGAACTCAGCTTTCTGGATTTCTCTCACCTTTCTTTCTCATCTCTGGGATCCTATGGCAGATGAGCTGCTCGAGGACCAGGATTGGGCACAGCCAGCAGAGCTGGGAGACTGCAGTGCTGTCTGCAGAGTGGTGCTTTGTTAGTTTGGCCCAGCCTTTGGGCTGGTAGGGAAACAAGCAGCCATTGGCCACGAGTCTGCTCAGAATCTGCCTCCAGCATTCAGCTCCACTGTGGGATGGAGTGTTAGGAAATACCAAAACAGAAAAACAGTTTAAAAAAACAGCTGCACAAACCAGAACATTGATTCAGAATTGTTTCTCCTTCTTGAATTTTACAAAATGCTTTATTATTAATTTTTGCTTTTCCCTCCTCTTCCTTTCCCTCACAGGAGAGGACTTCGGTCTTTGCCTCAGTCAGGGGTACTGAGCAATGATCTGTCATGGAGCCATCACTCCAGAGCTCAGTAGAATGGGAAGACCACTGTAGAAGTAGGTTAGACAGATTTGGGGTCAAGGTGGGGGCCTAGCTCTTTGAGGAGGACTGGGGGGTCGGGGGGTGGGCAGCCGGATGCTAGCTGCTGACAAGGCAAGAGGAATTTCAAAGAGATGAACTGAAGACAGGAGAGAAGATAATGGAACTCCTAGAGGTGGTAAGTGATTTGTTAGACGAAAGCTCAGTTCCATTCCTTACCTCACTCAGAGCCTTGGTCCCAGCCTTCAGTGATCTCTTAAGCATTCCACACTGCTGCTTTTAGGCCCACCTATTCTAGGATGGGATGGAGAATGGGTTCAGTTTTCTTGTACCTTAGCCTGACTGAACTTGAGTTTTGAATATTCTGTATGGTTACCTGGAGTGGGGGGGGAGGGAGATGCCCAGCTTCCGTTCTGCTGCCCAGAATCTTTGGTGGAAGAGGGTGAGCATATGGGGATTGAGAAGATGTGGTAAAAAGGTAAATTTCTCTGTAGTACAGCAGAGATTTATTTTTCTAAAAGTGTTTGCAGGAATTTTTTTCTTGTACCTCAGATTAAGTTATTTATATATTATTGACTGAAGGTTTTTTAAATTGCTTTTAAACTTTTATTTTTCTGGTTAATTTTTTTGGTGACATTTGATATATTTAACACCCTATTTATGTACTCCCATCTCTTTTCATATAAATCTCTTACTATTGATTGAAAAGGTCAGAACACTTGCAAATTAAAAGTCCGATGTGTACTTTTCTTTAGTGAAGACTACTCTGGGGTAGCAAAGAGTATCATTTGAGCTCGGAATTTAGCCTGGAGATTATGGTGGCAATAACAACTTGTGGCCCAGTTTCAAGCTATACAGTTACACATATGTACTGAGTGCTTCCCAAAGGCTCAGCACTGCTTTGCAAGTAAATAGCAACCAGATTAGTTGCCCAACTATGCCAGCTGTAGCCCAAATATGAACATGAGGGAGGATTCCAGAATAGTCACTGCCACACCTAACAGTGACCACAATCCCCTGGAAGGAAGCTCTTTAACAGGTGTGCACCTCTGGGGGCTTCTGAGGCAGAGCCAGCAATGGGAATCTGAACATATGGGTAGCCCAGAGGTGACCTTATCCCCTTACTAAAGCTGTGAATCAGCAATATAAAGAATATTAAATGAGGCTGATCTTATAGCAAAATGCAAAAGTGTTAAAGATAATCCAGGGACCTGGCTCTAAATGATCATGATGAAGTCAGATTTTGGTTTAGATAGTTGGTTCTCAGACTTTGTTGTGCATCAGAATCACTTGAAGGACTTGTTACCCCCCCCCCC